AGGTTCAGGCACTTATCGAAGTATGCAAAATTTATATAATGAAATAACCTGACCCATAAGTTTTGCGCTAAAGTTTCCAAAAATCGCAATTTTCTCGATTTTGACGAATTTTTGATTCACTATGGATAAGAAATTAGGTTTTCAAGTACTAAAAGCAAAAATCAGTGTTGGCATATTACGTGACACAAATTGTTAGAGAACACATAGTAGTTTCTTGGGATTTTCATAGCTAAAAGATCCAAAAAATCCTGATTCTGATTTTAGTACAATCACAGGATCTACCGAAAATTCGTCATGATCACATATTTTGAATAGTCACGATTTCAGTTTTTTAGTCGACAACTCGGTTTTCTTCCGAGTAAAATCACCAGCATTTTATATGTTACTAATATAAATCGTAACGTTTTCAAGCAACTTCATAACGAATTCTTCATATTTGGTGCAAACACGGTGCAACTACGATTTGTAAAAAAGAAATCATTTTCAATTTCAGACTCTCTTGCTGACTCGGGCAAATCCTCATGGTCCTCACTTGATCGCTCTTCTCCGGTATATCCTCCTAGTCGATTCTGTCACCTGTCGAGTCCTTCGCGAACGCTAACTATGGAGAAAAAGAAGAAAATAGACGAAAGTATTCCGAAGTCAATACCTGAGGTCTACCTTACTAGGCTTCTTACAAGGTAAGCTCCAACTGTTCTTTTCACTTTTTCAAAACCTCAATTTTTCCATTCTAGTAAGGGAACTGTACAGAAATATATCGAGGACTTCTTGGAATCCGTATTATTTCTGGATTCCTCAACATATCCACCTATTCTCAAACGGACTTTCGATTTGCTTGAGGAAGAAGCAGCTAGGAATGGGGTTAGTTGAGGACCAAGTTTTTTTTTCGGATTAGTGATGATTATCATTGCAGATATCGGATCATCAACTGGTGCAGCAGTGGAAGTCGAACTTGTACGTACTGCGAGTTTGGGTACACCTCATCAAAAATCCTAAAATCTTGTTGGATGTCTCGGAATCCATAAGTCAAGACGGAAATTTGTCGGTTGTTGCACAAACACTGGTAAGTTACCGACGCCAAGGTCTCTGTTTTGCTGATGTTTATCTCGTTTCAGGTAGACTGCTTCTCTTTTTCGGAGCAATCGCTTGGAGCACATTCACCCAGCTCTAGGTTACTTTTTGCAAAGGTAAGGTTTTCACTTGCCTACTAAAGTTGTTGTGGCTTACCCATTCCATTTAGGAGGTAGCTCGCCTTCGTCCTTTGTCTACAGATCTATTCCGAAGAATCCGACGGCAACCACCCGTATGTGAAGAAGCGTTCACTGAAAAATTGAACGAGGTAGCGAATGTGAGTGAACCGGAACAAATTTTCAAAACGAAAATAGTAAATCAAATCGTTTTAGGACCTCCGAGACTGTACTCGTTCGACGGTGGCGCTATCCGAACTGCTGACATGGGTGCGAGGAAATGGCGTTCGTCTGATTGAAGTAAGTCCTAATCTCACAAAGGCGGAGTTCAAGCAAATGAGAGTTGTTTTCTTATGTGGGGAAGAATTGGGAAGTTTGGACTAGGGCATTGCCCGCAACTAATAAGAATCTTTGTAGACGAGAAATTTGTCTGCAAATCTCTTGCTTAGCATACACATTTGTGAGAAACAATAGTCGCACCTTCAATAGTCTAGAGACAAAGGCCTCAAAAGTGAAGGTTGTTTGGATATTTGTCACCCATAAAAAGTGAAGGTTTTCATGTAAAATTAAAGGAAAAAACACAAAACAAATAGCAAAAGTAGAAAAAATCTCTAAGGGACGAAGCTGCAATGGGTTTGAAATCTTTCATTTGGCGTCATTTCGAATTGCATGTTTTCGCTTTGAGACCAGTCAATCTACAACACGGGGGTGAAGCAAGAAAGAGCTACTTTCTTATATGCGATTGTTTTCAAGAAAACCATGTTTTGGAAGTGGTGATAATCAAGAACACGTATGCAAGAAAATACTCAGTCAAAAAGTAAAGTTTT